ATATGCGGACGAGGGTTTGATCACTACCATGAAGATATTCCCACCAGCTTAGCAACCTTGGGTGGATGTTGGATACCATACCGAATCTGGGGACCTCGTGCCTCATTTTCTGCAAAACAAAATGTTAGGCCCATACAAATGTCGAGGCACGACAAGATCAACCCAAGCATGAGATGTAGAAGGCTACGACCGTCGTCGTAAGTCCTCCATTTTCGAAGAAGCCACTTACTCATTTAACGCGGACAGTTCCACCTCCAACCCTTGAATACACCCCTCAAGTCCCGCTATCTTAAGCACAGATGCCTGACAACGGTGTTGGGCGCCATCACGATCCTTAGTGGATTTTGGGTCGTGACAACATGGTATCAGAGCACTAGGTTCACGTAAGTCTCACAAGTCATGAATCTAGAGCTATGATACCAACTTGTCACGACCCCATATTTCCTCTGTAGAATGTCATGACGGCATCTAGTCTCTAAGGCTAGGTAAGCCTAATAATATGCGAAAACATTCAATAAAAGCTTAAAACTTAAAAATCCCAACAATTTCATGAATAAAATCTACCAAAACTCAATACATACAAATCCCAAAACCTAGTGAGATATAAGTCATAAGTTCTAGATACAGTATCGAACAATCCTATACATCACTGTCTATAAAAATGTAAGGAAATAAGGAAGAACAGTGTAGAAGGGGACTCCTAGGCTTGCGAACGCAGGCAGGTGTACCTTGAAGTCTCCAAACAAAGCAACTCAGTGTGCTAATACCGGGTCTTATAAGATGTATTTGGATCTGCACAAAACATGTGTAGAAGCATAGTATGAGTACAGTACAATGGTACCCAATAAGTTTCAGGCTTAATCTCGGTAGACTAGTGACGAGGTCAGGTCAAAGGCCTACTGGAGATAAAAGAAAATAAGATATAAGACATAATTATAATGACAAAGGAAGTGAGAGCAATAAAGAATTTACGAAAAGTTAGCAACATGGAATCAAGGCAGTTAATACAACACGAAAGGAAAATAAGGATTTTACATGTTAAGGAAACAACAACCGAACAAATACAACAAATAGAGAGAGATCAATAGGGGCACTCCTGAGGTACTGCCTCATAGTCCCAAATCATAAAATTAACTCACAGTCTTTCCTTATATCACCGAGGGGGCCTTTAAATTTAGTTTTGAAAATTTTTTTTCGAAATAGCACCATGCATTTTAGCCCACCTTATCACACCGTATAGCTTCTAGTAGTTCTCCTACTAGCCACGTGTATCAAGCCCACCTTATCTCACCGTATGCATTTTAACAGCAAGATCTTATACCACCGTATGCGTATCGATAATAACAATGGCATGGCAGAAATCTCGTGCAAACAATAACAATAGCACGACAGAAACCTCATGCAAACAACTAAACAATCACCTCAACAATAACACGAATGCCAAGATATAACAACTAAATAAAATGATATTACACAACTTACGCCTTGCCTCAATAGAAACCACGACCTTTGTAACTCAACACCAAACTCAACAACAAGATATTTTAAGGATAGCAATTTCAAGTAAGAACCCCACAGTTAAATAATTAATATGGAATTAAGAAAGCAAGTAATTCAACTAAACATGTAGTAGACATGTGAAATTAGACTTAACATAGTGACTATAACATGTTAAAGTAACTCAATTAAGGCATAAAAAGGAACTACATAGCTAAAACTGGAATTTCAATATTTAGCCCGTGTATGCACTCGTCACCTTACGTATACGGCCTTCACATATCACAAATTATCACAACAGTACCAAATCCTTAGGGGAACTTCCCCCACACAAGGTTAGACAAGTCACTTACCTCAATCCACGCTAAGTCAATCAGTTAGAAGGCCTTTCACTCGATTTTCCAACTCCGAACGGCTCGAATCTAGGCAAAACAACTACATACTATAAATATACCTATAGGAAACTAATTTAAATAATGAAATTATGATCTTAGCAAAGAATTAAAACAATCGTCCTAAAAATTCAATTCGGGCCCGCGTCTCGGAACCCAACCAAAATTTTAAAATCCGAACCCCTATTCAATATTGAGTCCAACCATACAAAAATTATACAAATTCGATACCAAAATCTCGCTCAAATTTCCAAAACTCAGCCAAAGAAGTTTCTTCCATTTTCTCCCAATTTTAAACTCCAAAATGATAATTAAAAGATGTAATTAACAGTAGACTCATGGGAATTAATCAAAAATGAGTCAAGAATCCTTACCCCAACAATTCCTTTGAACAACCTTCAAAATTTCACCTCAAACCGATCTCCCAAAATCTCAAAATGAAATATGAAGACTAACCTTCGAAATCCCTCTTTTCTGCCCCTGTTAAACCGCATCTGCGGCCCTGGTGTCGCTTCTGCGGCTCCGCACCTATGGAAAAACCATTGCAGGTGCGCGTCCCAACTAGCATCAGGGAGTTCTGCTTCTGTGGATAAGAGCTCGCATCTACGAGCCCGCTTTTGCGGAGAAACGACTGCATCTACGGTCAAGCCCAAGGCTGCTTCCCCAAGTTCCGCTTCTGCGAAGGTAGCCTCCGCATCCGCGAGTTCGTTTCTGTGGACAAATGATCGCAACTATGATCCCAGCTGGGCTAGACAAAATCCACTTCTACGAACAGTGGCTTGCATTTGCGAGCTAGCACCTGCGGCCAATCCTTCCGCAGATGCGAAGACACCAGAACCAGCCCAATATTTCAGCAAATCATTAAGTCCAAAAATGATATGATTTCCATCTGATTATCACCCGAGACCCTTGGGGCTCCGTTCGAACATACCAACTAGTTCCAAAACACATAACGGACCTGCTCGAGGCCTAAGATCACATCAAACAACACTTGAATCATGAATTGTGCATTGATTCAAGCCTAAGAACTTTAACTTCTACATTCGATGCCGAACCCTATCAAATCAAGTCCGGTTTACCTCAAATTTTGCACACAAGTCATAATTGGCATTACAGACCTATTCCAACTTTCGAAATCAAGATCTGACTCTGATATCAAGAAAGTCAACTCTTGGTCAAACTTTCCAAAATCCTCCAACTTTCCAGCCTTCGCCAATTCACGCCGAAACGATCTACGGACCTCCAAATCAACGTTCAGACATGTTCCTAAGACCAAAATTATCATACGGAGCTATTGTAACAGTCAAAACTTCATTTCGTGGTCGTCTTCACATAAGTCAAACTACGATAAACTCCTACGACTTAAACTTCCAACTTAGGGACTATGTGTCTCGTTTCACTACGAAACTCCCCGAAATCAATACCAAATACCCCGGCAAGTCATGTAATCACAAAATAAAATAGAGGAAGCAATAAATAAAGGATCGGGGCTAATATACTCAAAATGACCGGCCGGATCGTTACAGAGTTGTTCTTAAAGACACCTTTTACATATAGAAGAACGAATCAAGTCAAGGCCCTTGCATCTATTTGGTTTATTGGTGCTTATTTATTAATTTTCATTTTGGGTTGTCTTGTTCTTAAGATAGCAAAAATGATTTTTTGGTCTTTAATTACTTTTTTACTAACTCAATGATATCCTTAGCTGAAAGATGATTATGTCTGTTATGTCGGGCCTACAAGAAGCATTATCTTAGTCATTTTACTAGATTAGGATAAATTCAATTGTCCGACTATTTTCGGTGGTTATTGTGGTTTGGTAAAAATGTATGGTCAGTCAGTGTTTAAAAAGATACATGACTGGCCTATTATGTTTTTTCCTTTACTCGTGAAGAATTAACTAGAGTAGCAGCCCACATTAACAATTGACTAAAGTAGCCCCATTTTTTTAATTACCTAATTTTTATATTATAAAATCTGTTTTTTTTAGCCGTAAACGAATCTAAAACCTAAATCTACATAGCTAAAGCTCCTTTCACTTGTGTCAATTATGCAGTATTAGATGCATAATGTGTAGGGCCGTTAAGAAGCATTATCTTAGTCACTTTACTAGGTTGGGATAAGATTTAATTGTCCAGTTATTTTCGGTGGCTATTTTGAATTGATAAAAGTATATGCTCTATTTATGTTTTTCTTCCCTTTATTTGTGAACAATTAACTAGGCCAGCAACACATATTAGCAATAAACTAAAAATAGACCCATTATTTTTTAATTACCTAATTTTTACATTCAAAAATACGATTTATTTTTTAGCAAAAAATAAATCTATGCAGATCTTCTTCTATGCACAGATCCTTTGTCAAAATGCTCCTTCTACCCAGAGTTTGAGATGTCTTTTTCCTGCTATAGTTATGATCATAAATCATTCCACTGTGAAGGAGGAAGTGTGATGTCATCTTACGTTTTAGAACCTAATTCTACATTTTGAAGCCTTAAACCTCATTTTAGCCCTCCTTGATTTGTATGCACAGATATGTTTCCAAAAAGCTTTTATGTTAAAAACTGAGAAAATATAAAATGTTTGCCTTAAAATCCATTTGAGTTGACTTCGGTTAATATTTTGAGCAAACGGACAGAGATTCATGATTTGACGGTCCCGGTGGGTCCGTATCGTGATTTGGGACTTGGCATATGCCCGAAATTAAATTCGAAAATCCTTAGCCCAAGTTATCGCACTTCGTTGAAATTTGAAAGTTAAAAGCTTAATTACTATGAAATGTTTGACCAATATTTGACTTTTTGGATATTGGGTTCGTATTTTAGTTTCGAAACCCGGTATAGGTCCAATACTATATTTATGACTTGTTTGTCCAATTTTGTGATAAATGGAATTGGTTTGACGTGATTTGGACGTCCGGTAGTGAAAATAGATGTTTCAAAGTTTTCTTGAAAATTTCATTTGATTTGATATTCAATCTTAGTTCTAGGTGTTATTTTGGCAATTTGATCGTGCGAGCAAGTTCGTATGAGGTTTTTAGACTTTTGTGCATATTTGGTTTGGAGCCCCGAGGACTCGGGTGAGTTTCGAATAGGCTACAGAGTGGTTTGGACTTAAAAAAACTCAGCTGGTGTTCAGTTTCTGGTGCAGGTCTCAGACCTTGCATTTGCGATATGGCAGCAAACCTGTCAGTTTTACATTTGCGACCATAATCTTTGCATTTGCGAAGAGACCCAGTTGCGCAATTGCGACCAGGTGTTCGATTTTGCGATGGGGACTAGGGGTAGATTCTTCGTATTTGCGATCAACGAGTCGCATTTGCGATCAGGACAGTTCGCATTTGCGATGAAAGCATAGATGTGATGATCTTCGCATTTGCAACTGATTTTTCGCATTTGCGGGGTTCGCATTTGCGCACAAATGCGACATCTGCAACTGATCAAAATGGGAGTTAGACGGTATTTTTGTTCATTCTCTCAAATTTTCAAACTTTAGAACCCTAGAGGCGATTTTTCAAAGGACTCTTCTTCCCCAAATCATTGGTAAGTGATTTTAAACTAGTTTCTTTCAATCTTTCACTATATTTCCAAAGATTTCAACCAAAAATCTTGTGTTTTTATGGTAAAAATTGGAGGTTTGGGTAGAAATAGGGATTTTTATAAAATGAGAATTTAGACCTCAAATTGAAGTCGGATTCCAAAATAAATTACATAACCGGGCTCGGAGGTGAATGAGTAATCGGGTTTTGGTCCGAAATTCGGGTTTGGACCAAGCGAGCCAGGGAGTTGACTTTTGTTGACTTTTTCAATAATGACCTAAATTGAATTCTTTACAATCGTGGGTAGTTCCTAAGGCTTAATTTGAATCGTTTGGTTGGTAATTTGCTAGATTCTATTGGTTCAGAGGCTTGTTTGAAAGGCAAACCTGTGGTTGATCTTTGAGTTTTATCTTTGGAGCGAGGTAAGTGTCGTGGTTAACCTTGACTTGAGGGATTATGACTCATTTATCTATTTGCTACGTGTTTAGATCTTAGGTACAACGTATATGAAGAGGTTAAGTATTTTCTCTTAACCTCTTCATCATTTATATGATTAATAATGTAGAATAAAACTTCTTTCGAGTCATTTGTAATAACTTTGAGGGAATTTTGTTCGCATACGCATATTGCTCCACTAAAGTTACGGATATTATCTTCGGAGCTGCTACTATCTGAGCTATATGCTACATTAATTAATTCATTATCACTATCGGAATAACTTTCGTTAGAAGATGATGAAGAACTATTTTCATTTTCTTCCAAAATAGTGTAAAACTTTTTCTTTGTGCTTTTGTCTAATTCGAGAAGATTATCTTTTTCCCCTTTTCTTTTTAGTGACTTAACAGTCACTTTACAGTCACTGGCTCTATGTCCTGTTCTTCCACAAGACCAACACTTATCACCTTGTTCACTTTTAGAACGCCTTTTAAATCTTCTCTTTTTAGGGGTCTTTCCTCCTTTTTCTCTTTTCGTTTATGGTGTCTTTTAGACGGTTTATCAGAAGATTTGTATTTTTTAGAGACACTTTTAGATGGGGCGGAAATAGTTTTATATCCAAAATCTTGGCAGAAACTGTCAAGCTCAGTTTTGGATTGTAATCTGTCCTTTTTAGTAAGACTTTTAAGTTTTAGATCTGTACATAAGTCCAGACCTGTAACATTAATGAAACTTATTTAATCCTCATATGTAAGATTATCATACGAGATTTGACCATTAAATCGGTCCTTAATCTTCGTTCTTACCTTTCCGGCAAACAACCTAGGTACTCCACTGATAAATCTTTCTTTCCAGAAAGAATTACCGCAATCTTCTCTAATCATTACCTTTTCGATAAACATATCTTTATACCATCTAAAGTTTGTTAGTTTTGGGCAATTAAGATTATTGAGGAGTTCTAAGCTTCTATCTTGGAAAAGTTTTGGTTCCCCAATAATGTGTTTAGCAATACAGTAAATTAAAGTTGCGGTAGCATCTTCTCTGGATTCTTGTTCCGCTACTTGTGCATTATTTTCGGTTTTTACTATGGTCACTATCGTAGTGGCACTTAGGATTTGATTCCTATTTTCTTCTGAGAGATAATTATCCCACCAATTTTTTAATACGCCAGTAAATCCTAACACTATCAATGTTGGTGCGTGTTTATCCGGCGCATTTTTTATTTTATAGGTAGTTACTGCAATACCTATTTCGTGGAGTTTTTTTTGTAAATTTGGCTTTCAGCCAATCCGTCTATATTCCATTCTGTGATTCCAGTTCCATCGTGACTGGAGCTAGTTAGATATATATCTTCCTCGAATTGAACATCTGGGAATGACGCTCGTCTGTAGTAATTTTTTTATTAGAATGTCTTGGATCATTGGTGATTCTGTTGATCTCTGAATCACTTGTTTTAATGGTAGAGAAAGCCTTTAAGGTTACTAAAGGTTTTATTTTATTTATAAGATCTGCAATTTCTTTGGAGGCCTTTTCTATAGTTTTTAACTTAATTTCATTGTTAGGGAAATCACCTTTATATTTTAGAATTTTATATTCATTTTCTAATGAGACTAATTTATTTTGTAAATTGTGTAATTCTATAGCCTTATCGGTACTAGCACTAGCTTGTTTTAAAGATGTGCTTGGCTTTGAGATTATCATTTTTGTTTTAAGTTGTTCTTCTATTTTTTCTAGAAGACTATCTGAAAAATCAAATTGTTCTTTATTGAGGGAATTTTTCTTTGGAAAATTCAGGGATTTTAATTATGGGATGTGTTTCATTAGTTGTAGGTACTATAGATTTAGCGGGGATTTCTATCTTGTTAGAATCTTTTAATTGATTAGATACTACATGTAATAGATTGTTGGTATAATTGTTTTGAGCAATTATTTTGTTTCAATCTTTATTAGTTGGTTCGCTATCAAGGTGAACGCTTTCCCTTTTGAACGGGGAAGCAGTTATTACTTGACCCTGAACCGGTATTAGGATTTCTTCTAATGGTGGAGTAGTGGTTTCTATAATACCTTTGTTTTTGGTATACCATTTGTTGATTATCATTTGTAAAGATTCCTTCTGATTTGGAATTTGTCCTGTTAATTCAAACCATTTAAAGAATTCAATATTACACTTGATTCTTTTTAAGTCTTTGATCCATTTATCTTTAAAAGATAACCTTTGATTTAATGAATACGTTTCAACGTACCATTTTCTTTTGATAGTATTATCAGGATGTTCCCATTTAGCATCTAGACTTTTCCAGTCTATTTTAAAGTTATTTTCGGCTTTAATAACCCCGAGTTGATCATGATCAACTGTTTTTGTGGTTGGACTTCTAGGAGTGGCTCTAAAAGGACCTTTTTGATAGATTACTTTAGGAATAGTTTTATTAAAATCTACTCCTTGTAGTTTTCTATCGAGTTCCTCTATTAATTCTCCGTCGCTTTTATTGTACTTTTATTGCTATTTCCCTCAGGGGGTGTGAGAAAAGAAGGTCTACTGAAGGACATTCTTCTACTGGAAGAAGCTTCGCTTACTGAGCTAGATCTTAAGAAGTTTAAGTCTATGGCCCCTGTTGGGTATTGAATGACTTGTTCGATGAATGAACTTTCAGGTTCATATTTTGGTTGAGTTATGGCTTCAAAACGCTATTCGTCTTTTGATAATATTTCATCCCATCGAATCATTCTAGGGACGAAGGTATTACAATGTTCTTGGTTTGCTTCCATGAGCATAGTAACTCCCTTATTACTTTCAATCTTAGCTTTCGGGGCTAAAGTTGTTTTCATTAGTCTGTAATAAACTCTGTATATTACAGCTATTTCTCTTGTATTAACTTTGCTGTTCATATTTTTTGTTTTTATATTAAGAGTTAATGTATCCAAAATATTCTTGTCATTAATGTCAACTGAATAGTTAGGATAACAGTTAAAGTAAACCAGGCCTTGGGCTAGGTTACTCTGAAAAACTCCTAACAATGAGTCATCAAAGTTTAATAGTCTATCATCTCTTAACAAGAGACAGAGATGTGTCTAAACCTAGTCTGTATAAAGGTTTGACAGCGACTTGTACTAGTCCAATATGAAGAAAATTATATTTTTTCTTATATTGTTGAATATCCTGTGCCGCTAATAACTTGATAGTTTCAATAGAGTTATTAATAGCAATTGCTGATTCGCAAGTTTTGATATTATATTTTTTTATAAAATCAAACTTACCAATGTGATATATTGTGCTGAAGGATTCTTTTGGAATACTCCAATTTTGTAGATCATTCTCAATTTTGGCAATATTTGTTATTGCCGAAGATATATTGACATTTTTTAAAATATTTTTCTCGGATTTATTCATTAATAATGAGGTGTATACCAGCTAATACAAGTTTTTAACGTTCCTAGATTACAGAGATATATCCTCTTTTGTTCTTTAAAATTTTTAAGATTATATCAATAGTAATTGATTTCTTTTATTATGTTTAACAAAGGCTGTCTTCATATATTATTATAAGAAGTAAGGGTTTCGCAGACCCTAAGGTTATGTTTAGCAAAAGTTATTTTCCTATTTATTGTTCGTAGACGTTTTAACAACATCCATCTTTCTTTATTTATATATCTTATATAATGAAAAGAAGGATACTATATTTAAGGTTAGTCGAAATCTGGTTATCTCAATCATGCTATAAGTCTTATTCACACCTTACTGTTCATTTCTTTATAAGTTTACTGTTCATCATCTTCATAGATTTATGATATTCCTTAGTTCATAGTGTGAGGGTCTCTAAAGAGAGAGCTAGTTAAACCCTATTACGCTGCCGTCAGTTGCCGTCGTCGTTATAGACTAGGAAGAGCCACAGTTAGACAGTACACAATAGGACACACTGAACACGTTTAACTTTGAACCCCCAAGATAACTTAGAACTGGAAAATCATTTAGCAATGAAGTAGATATACGAACAATGTCATAATATGCATTTGAACTATTAGAACAGAAACCAAAATAAACTGCAGAAGTTAGATTAGCCCCAAACGGTTCAGTTACTAATTAAGTACCAAAAGAACTTAGCCAATCCAAAACTCTGTGCATGAAATCCTATGTGATCTACAAAAGGATTCTGAAGTCGCAATAGCAACTTCACAAACTAGAGGTAGCAGTGACGGACCAAATCAGAATCAGCACCTCAAGTAATCAATCAATATAGCCTCAAACACAAACTATATGGAATCCTCTATTTAATTCCCAAGTTTAGACGATTCATCATATTACGAGTAATTTTTATGCTATCGATCAACCTACTGCAACCGTGACCGCTCATTAGGGACTGGAAATGCGAAAAATTTGAAAACAATATAAGAAAATTCAAACACGAATACAGAGGCAAAAAACAAGAGTAGAGAAACAAGACCTTGGGCATCCTCTTCCTTGTCATCATCGTCGTCCGAAACAACCGCATCATCATCATCATCGTTGTCGTCTTCCTCTTTCACATCTTCCACTATGAACTCCTCATCCTGTGGCCCACAATGTCAACAAAGATAACGTTACCATTAAAATGGAGCAACTAATCTATTATGCCACTCAAAACTTTTGGGGGACAAAGACTCGAGAAGATAAATGAAAGTACCTGAAGCTTCTTCTCGACCTCAACTTCTTCGATGATGGGACCTGGCATGGCTCGCTCTGTAAAGGGTTCTGCTACAGCTTAACTTTGAGGATGAAATTTGCACAAGGAAATATGGTAAATTTTGTCCAAGGGTTCCTCTGTTATGGGCCAATTTAACCAGTTAGCCCAGTTTCACTTCACTATTTGACTACTTCTTAAGGGCCCATATGATTTTCGGTTTAGAAAAATTAGTAATCTAAATAATGACTTATCCAACCTAAGCCTGTTAATCGGGCCGGGCTGACCCGTTTTCAGCCCGCTTCAGCTCGATTCAGCCCGCTACTGTTCACTATTGGACGGGTTGGGACAGGTTGTTTAGGGGAGCGGGTTGTGGACGTTCACGTTTAGCTTAACGGTGCACCTAATCCCGTAACCCGATATTTCTTAACGGGTTGAACACGGGCTGCAGCCGTTAGCAGCCCGGTTACCGTTGGAATTTTTTTTTTTTAATTTAATTGGACCGTTCCCAACGGTCAAATTGAGAAATAACCGTTGGGGAACGGCCAGATTTTGCAAAAATGGCCAATTTCGGCCCCCATTAAAAATATAGTCATCTCACCCCTAATAATTGCAAAATTACTTTTTTAACCTTTTAAAATCTATAAATAGCCCCCCTTCTTCTTCATTTTTTCTCACAATTCACTCTCTTACTACTCTGATTCTCTCTCAAGTCTCAATTCTCTCTTGATATTATAGTTCTTAAATTCTCAAATCTCAAATTCTCAATTATCTATTATTTCAAGTTTCATCAATTATTTAGTTTAGTCATTACAAAATTATTATTATCAAATATCAATTATTCAAGTGAAGTGTGGTATCAAGTATTCAAGTATTATCAACTATCAAGTTTCGGTCTATCAATTGAAGTTTGAATTTTGATATCAAAAATTCAAAATTAGTGCTGCATAAGGAATCCTGATTCACTCGTTCCATCTCTTTCTATTATTTGGTGTACACTTATTTTATTATTTAGAATTATTAATTTAGTTTCTTAATTTAGTTTCTTAATTTAGTTTCTTAATTTAATTTCTTAATTTAATTTCTTACTTTAATTTCTTACTTTAATAGTTTAATTTATATAATGAATTTACTTAGAGCGGCCAAAAAAGCGTGCGCTAGTAGAGGTGGTAGTAAGAAAACTTCAAAAAAAATAAGAGGTGGTGTTGGTTCTTCTAGTAGCTTTACACATATTTCTGAAAGTTTGCCTGAAAATTTAAATGTAGATTATGAGCAAATGCAAGAAAATTATGGTGTAGATGATGATTTTGATGCTTTGTTAGATGATATTCAATCACCCGATAATCTTGAAACATCACAACCTACACCTGGTAATGCTAGTCAAACTCAAAATGTTAGGGGTGCAACAAGTAGGCCTCTTCTCCCAATTAAGAAGAATCGACGATTAAGAAGTAAGTGTTGGATGTTTTTTGAAAGACTAGAAGATCAAAAAAATTATGTAAAATGTAAAATTTGTAGTGAACATTATAAACATGAGCCCGGTAAAGGAGGGGGAACGGGTCAACTTCGTAGGCATATGGAAGAGAAACACCCTCTTGATTGGGGAGTAGATGAGTCATCTGGGCAACAAAGACTTAACCCGAGTACTGGGGAGTTATTTGGGAAATACGATATTAAGAAAGATCGGGAGGAATTAGCTAAAATGATTGTTTTAAGTTGTTTACCTTTTAGTTTTGCTTCTTCACCGTATCTTGTTACTTATATTCAAAGAATTTATAACCCTATGTTTAAAGGTATTCCTAGAAGTACTTGTAGAGCTGATATTTTTAGGATTTTTGGACAATATTAGGCATATATTCGTTATTTGTTCGCAAGTCTTCCTTCTAAAGTTTCTCTTACTTCTGATATTGGTCGTGCTGTGAATGGAAATGATTATTTGACTGTTACATGTCATGGGATAGATGATAATTTTTATATGCAAAAATGTATTATTGCTTTTAAATACGATGAAGATCAAAGTCATACTGGTGCATTTATAAGCAATACTATACATAAAGTTGCTATATTTTATAATCTTGCAGAAAAAGTTTTGTATATGTCATTTGATAATGCTTCTAACAACAATGCTGCTATTACAATATTAAAATTGCATCTACACCCACCACTTCCTGAAATATTTCATATTAGATGTGCATGTCATGTTTATAACTTGATTGTGAAGAGTGGTCTTGAATTATTTAGAAATGAAATTACTTTAGTTAGGAGAGCTGTTGGTGTAATTCAAGGAAATAATAGAAGTTCTAGATTAAATGCATTTAAGGAAAAATGTGTACACTATAGACTAAAATCAAGACTCATGCCTGAAGAAATAGTTACTAGGTAGAATTATACTTATTTGTTCTTAAGATGTTGTTATAAATATAGAATGCCTATAACTAAAGTTGTTAATTCTCATTGTACTGATCCTAACCGTTTGTTAACATCTAAAACTTGGGAAGTTATTCATGATGTTGTACAATTTTTACAAAAATTTTATGTGGCTACACTTGAGTTTTCTGGAGCTTATTATCCTACCATTTCAAATGGTTTAGTTCATATTGCTGAAATTTCTCTTTTACTACATAATTTGAAGCAGAAAGAAGGATATGCTACTGTTGTTGAATCTATGCTAGATAATTTTAAAAAGTATTTCTACCCAATTCCCTATATTTACCTAATTGGTGTTATTTTAAACCCTACTGTCAAAATGATAAAGTGTTGCCAATTAATTAGAGCTTTATATACTTATATGGATATTGGCCCAACTAAAACTCTTGATATTGACACTTGTATTTATGAGCTACACACACATTTACAAACTTTATATAATTATTATGCTAACATTGTTGATGCTTCTTCGGTTGTAGATGCAAATATTCCTTCAACTAATCCTTCAACATCTGAAACAACTATGGATGATGATGATTGCGTTCAAGATTATCGGATTTGGTCTGCACTAAGAGAGCATCAACAAACCAGTAGCAGGAATATTGATGAACTACAATTCTACTTGCAAAAGTCACCATAGCCCCTCACAAAGGATTTTCTACCGCTAGGTTGGTGGAGGAGCAACTCAAATTAATTTCCTATTCTTTCGGCCATGGCTCGAGACGTGCTAAATGTGTCGATTTCAACAGTCGCATCAGAGAGCGCATTTAGCCAAGCAAGGCAGCAGCTAGGAAATACCCGTCATTCATTGGGCAGCAACGCTTTGAAAATTCTAGTGTGCTTCAGAGATTAGATAAGATTAGAACGGCGAAATCAAGGGGGTGACGAGGTAGATAAAGAGGAGGACCAAGACATTGGAGATATAATGGTTTATGGTTCCGATTCAACCAATACCGAAAATCAAGAACCTCATGTTGACATGGAAGAACTTACAAAAATGATGCAAAGCATGTGATGTACTATTTCTTATTTTTTATAATTATAGTAAACTTTTAATTTGCAAGTTCAAAAATAAAAAAATCAAAAAAGAACTTGCAAATTAATTTGAAGTATTAAAAATAAAAATGAAAGCCTTCGGAGTTTGTTCCTTATATTGCGTATTGGTTTTATACTCTTATTAAATAATTTTTTGTAGCCACTTACTTTCTAATTTCAATTTTAGAATTTTAAAATACAAATTTCAAATTTAAAACTTTAAACTTTAAACTTCAAAGTTTAATTCTAACCCTTAAAAGTTTGCAAATACTTAACTATCAATAACATTGAATAAGAAAAATAAAATTTAATTTAAAAAAAAAATAACTGGAGCCCGCCCCACCCGAACCCGTACGGGCCCTAAAAATCGGATTTTCCCAACCCACTATGAACCCGTTATCCCAGCCCGTTAACCAACCCGCCCGCTAACCGAACGGGCTAGGGTTTTCCCCGTTCAGCTCGTCCCAGCCCGCCCAATAAACACCCATAATCCAATCACTTAAAATAAAAATAACTAATAAATATATAGTATATATGTATAATTTATATATAATATGTGTATAATTTATATATAACGACTAGAAAAAACAAAGAGTATATCAGATCGACCATCTGTGTAAAGAATTTGTTTTGCAAGTAATTGCTATAGAATTTTTCTTTGAAATCTTCCCAGACTATAGTATTGATACAGATATTGGGATTTGGGCTAATCGAATTTGAATGCCTTTACTTTGCTTATTGACCCTTCTTTTTGGGGACACAACTTTCTAAATGGAACATCACTTGACACAGTTTTGAGAAAATATTTCACTCAAACACTTAAAAATATTGTGGTACTCTTAAATTCTTGCAGTCGTATTTGTTACTTTCTTCCTTTCGGTTTAAGTGATTCTATTTGATTAGACATGAAATTTAAAAAAGAATTGAATACTTTTGAAAGGTATAGTCTAAAATAATTCATAGATAATGATGTCGTTATAAAATATTTTATTAAGGGTAAAATAATAATTTAAATTTAAAAAAAAAGTCATTCTTTTTAAAACGAATTAAAAAAAATAGGTTCATCTAAATTGAAATGAAAGAGTTAATCAATTAGCTAGCTAAACTGATGCTTACTCGAACTGTTTAGTTCGTTAGGGCTCAATTGGTTAGCAATTACCGTATGAACCCACGTGGACACTTGGTAGGTGCATGTCATGATTCGTTGGATAAATGTACAGACAGTGAGAGCATGTGGATTGAATACATTTCAAGAGAAAGAATTTGGAAAATGAAAAGCAAATGGGTTCAAGCAGCAAGAGCCAAGGTATCCAACTAATTTAAGGCAGCTGAAGATGAAGAAGAAACATTCTTATACGCGTATGCCTGGAATTTCATTTGAATATTCTTAGAAGGTTTAAGCGCTAGTTGACGAAAGTTGAAAATTGAAGGTTTTGAATATTTGTAAATTCGTGTTTTAGGACTTGTTGGTACATTTGGATGGAATACCCGTGATCTCGGGTGAGTTTTGAACAAGTTTGGACATTTCGGTACTTTGATGAGGTTCTAGAGCGGTTGAAGTGCGGAGGGCACATTTTGGAGTGCTGAGGCTGTGCGCACCGCAGTGAAAATGTACGTACCACAGCAAGGGAAATCTGCAGGTTTGACGGTCTGATTTCGGAAGCTTATATC